CTTTGGTTGCTTGTTTCTATCAATAAACAGCAGGTCTTCGTAACTTTGAGTTTAACACGCTCTTCTATTCATCACACTGGTTTTTAATAAAAAAAGATATGACTAATAATGGTTTTGTTCTTCCTCCATGTAGGTACGGGCTGTAATGCTGCATACATCGAAAAATCCGAGAAGGTAGAACTGATGGAAGATAAGTCAGAAGAATTCGTTGTCATCAATACAGAGTGGGGTGCATTTGGTGAAGCCGGAGAACTGTCCGCTTACCGTACGCAGTTTGACAAATCTGTTGACGCAGAAAGCATTAATCCAGGCAAACAACCGTAAGTTTTCCATTTTGTTTTTATGTTAATAGATATCTGATATATATATATATAGCTCTACAGATGTTGCAGGCTGTTAAAAGCTGTCTTGGCTAGAACCATTGCTTTCTTTACGACAGCTGGCTCCTGGGAGACGATAAGCCGGCTTCATGGATATTTCATAAGATTTCTTGTGAGTTAGGTACAGAAAACGTCCCCAGAATCACCCGGTTTCAGGTCGAGGTAGTATCTTTGGCCTTTGAACATCCAAGTGCTAGCTGCAAGGCAGCAGGAGGGTAGCGCATGGTTGCCGGTGACCCCATGGGTAGGGAGTCTCCTAGACCATTGACAGTTTCAAGCTGAACAGGGGTCCATGAATCCCTGGCGAGTACGGAGCCATTGCCTTGACCGTTGAGTCGTGCAAGCGATTTCGTCCGCCCAACGCGCTAGTACTGCATTCAGTCGTTAGACACCGACTCGCCGATAGTTGAGCTCCCGGATACTCGATCTGGTTTGGCCCGTTTATCGAGCGGTTTGCTGAGATGTGGCCGCTTTTGCATCCAGACAACTTGGAGCCACAGATGAGAGCTAAAGGCCTGGTGGACCACAAAGCACGGAGGATGCCTCAAAAGAGCCGACAGCCCTCCGAGTCAGAGGTGCCACTCCTACCGGGTACCCCATACAAGCTTGTTCACGTTAAGAAAATTTCTTGACTTCCTTTTTATTTATCGAATATACAAATGTACAGCTAACATTCAGGAAGGGGGGCCGCGGCCATACGAAGGCTGTCTGGGAAAATACAGAAGTAGGGAAGACGGGCGACGGTGGAGCGGTTCGAACCCGGGACTTCCAGGTCACCTAACTTGGTCACCACCGTCCACGTTAGATGTTCGTTGTCTCTGAAACACGCATACGATACCCTTCTTCAATTATCATTTGTGTTCTCCAGTTCCAAACTCATCTATTTGTATGGTTTTCCTATGGTTATCTTTTTTTACTACTCCGCATTCATGATGCACATAGATTACCAAGTGATCATTGTGCAGCTTTTCAGAGACTGGCATGGTTTTTTGAATTTTTTACGATGTCTTATGTTTTATCATCTGGAATGTTATACTAACGATGATTTATATCGATTGTAAGGTGAGCCCCATATCTTTATGCTAACCACAGTTGTTGTTTTTTGCTTCAGGTTCGAAAAGATGGTTTCCGGTATGTACCTAGGCGAGATTGTCCGCCATATATTGGTGTACCTGGTGGAACAGAAACTGTTATTCCGTGGGGAGATGCCGGAGAAGTTCAAGATCAAGGATGCTGTGGCAACGAAATATCTGACTGAAGTCGAACGGTAAATGTTCTTTTAGAACTTTCCTCAGAGAACAATCAAGTGGACAGATATCTCGCATAGTGACGTTTCTTGATTTTGGCCCATCTGATATTTGTTGATCGAACTGTTTTTTTTTTCAATCTGGTTGTTCGGTTTGTTTTACTTTGAGAATTTAACCAATGAATTGCAAAGTCAGCCGAAATTTATCTATATATGCACTTGATCCAAAGCATCAACATACTAATGAATGCACATTTTGATATTTGCTCTTGGTTCCAGTGACCCTCCTCACCTGAGTTACAGAGCACACTATATGCTTACCGAAGATCTTGAAGTGCCAGTTGTGGAGCCCATTGATGATCGAATCGTCCGATTTGTGTGTGAGATGGTTACGAAGCGAGCTGCGTATTTGGTTGGTGCAGGTAAATTTTCCTGATGAGATGGGTGCATATGATGATCTTACATATTTTAGGCGTTATTTATCATCTTCATGATTAAATAACATTGATCTGGTTCATAGATCTCACAATTAGAATAGTGTGCGGGTAAAGAATCATATTAAAAGCGTATTATGCAGTTGCGTTTGCAACAAACCGACTTGACTAGTCGTGAGATAGGATGATCAAACTGACTTGTTTATTCGGAGTCTGAAAGTGATTTAAATGTGCATTAAGCCTTGACTAATTACTGACAGTTGAATTCGCATACATGTCGAGCTTTTATCGGATGCTTCCATATTGTGTTGATCCCTTCTGTACCATCTCATGAACCAGTCTTGTTTTGTTTTACAGGCATTGCTTGTTTGCTTCGGCGTATGAAAAGACAAGAAGTCACCGTGGGTATCGACGGTTCGCTCTACAAGTTTCATCCACGGTTCTGTGAAAGAATGACAGATGTAATCGACAAACTAAAGCCCGAAAATTCCAGAGTAAGTTAATCTGCTGTCATTCTAGTGATCAAGAGTTTGATTACATATCTTTGTTTATAACGTTCACCTCATAGAACGCTGAGCTAAGAAGATTAAACACGAAATACAAAAGCCATTGCGAACGCTGGTTGAGTTATGGAAGTCATTGTCCGACGAGACTTTTCCCATGAGCTCAGCTATATGTGTACGAATATCCATGATAGCTCACAGAAAGCTTATTGTCGATTTGCTCACTGAAAGGGATACATTCACAATCAAGTTAATGTTCATAGTGTGGTGTGCCTGCTCTTTCCCATTCACAATATGCTGCCCACTTAGGTTTCTATTGCGAACCAGATTGACCGGTCTTCGTTTTTGTCTCGTGTATGTGTGTGTTACCCACACTAAGGCATTTGTTCGGATTAAAAGTTTTCGCTTTTGTCTTTTTTGCGTGCTAAACTGTCAAGTGTTATCATTTTTGATTGCAATCTTTCCTACTGTCTCTTGCTTACAGTTCCTCCTTCGACTGTCCGAAGACGGAAGTGGCAAAGGTGCGGCAGCCATCGCTGCGGCGGCGGGCCGATGAGTTCTTTCGACTTATGCCGATTGCATTCGACTTTTGCCGGTGTGAAAAGACCCTTGCATTCACACAATGAAACTATCGCCTCTTGTAAATGCTTTTACCTTAGCCTCCATTCTTGTGAATCTGGCAAGTAGACAGAATACTTATTTTCGGACATCTCAAAAAATTTCAGTCTTCACCCAGATTCGCATATTCGAGACTCACACCACTTACCTGTTCTTTTCTTGTTACTAACTTCCAAGCATTGTGCACTGCTCCGCTCCCCCACCCATCTGAAACCGGCTGTCATAGCAAGTGCTTTCTCTAGTCATAGATCGATGCTGTTCCCCCGTCGTTCAAATTCGCTCTAGTCTTCGTGCTTTCCGTTGTAACACTTGTGATAGCTTGTACCTCTTGGTCCCCCGTGAATCACCGGCCTGACCTGAATGCAATCCATNCGATAGCACCATACTTTCGGGGTTCATTTCAATTGTTTTATCATTTCCCTCTTTTTATGTGTCACTCATCGGTTAGCTGCCGGCAGTTTATATGCTATTAAGTTAAATAAAATTCCGTTGTTAACATTCATTCTTGAATCTTAGCCTTGTTGGGAAATCACGCCTCCCTGGTAAAAATGGGGATAATTTAAAGGAGATACGAGAACTATTCTTTCTCCCTTTTCCTGTTGATTTGAAACCAGTGAACACTAGATTGAACCTTTCACCTGTGTGAT